GGAGGGGAGGGAAGGGGGAGAGGATCCACGCCTAGATTTAAAGATGGCAGAAGGAGCCATTGGCCAAAGAAGGCAGATGGCCTCAAGCAGCTGGAAAAGGCAAAGAGCTCACCGTAGAGAGTTATTCACTGTCCAAGGCCTTTCTTTTTCCTCCTTACATGTATTAATTTAGGTTGGATAAGTAAGTTTATATGACGTTGATCTATGGCTTTAAGGCAGAAAGGAGAGGCTAAGCTGAATGTGAAATATGACAAGCAACTTTCCTTAACTGTACTTGTGGCCCATCCATGTGCTGAGATGTTGAGCTTTAGGGGTAAATAATTCCTTAAGGGGTTTGGTGGGGGTCTAGACTCCCACGTGTGTTACAGAGGGAACAAGTTTGAACTTATGCAGAGGTGGGGGTGATTAATTCCGGAACCTCAAGGCCTCTCAGGATGTGTTTATTTTTATCTTTATTACTATTTTTTGAGACAGGGCCTCACTGTAGTTCAGGCTGGCCTTGAACTTACTATGTTGCCCTAATCAGTGACCCTTAAGGACCCCTAGGGCTCAGCCTGTTGACCTGTTCTCCAGGACACCGCACCTCTCCTTTCCCGGGTGCTCTGGCCCCAAACCCTACCAGCGCTCCAGAGGGCCAGCAGGTGTTTTCCTCCTGACCCTGCTTCTGTGCAGAAAGGGCTGGGGAGGAGAAGCTGGAGCTCCTGCCTCTGGAGAAACGCAGAGGCTCCAAAAGGGAAAGACCTCTCAGACTCCCTGTGTAGGCTGCCGGAGGCACGGTGGCCTTTGGGTGTGTGCTGCCTGCTGTCTTGCCAAGGGAGCCCTGCTGTGGTTTCTGCTGAGTGCAGAGCGAGGACGTGATGGCATTTTGAGACCGTCCCAGCTGGGGCAGAATTTTATGAGCCAGGGGCTGTGACACACACAGAGGAAAGCACCCGAGACCGGGCGCCCAGAGGCCCGGGCTCTGGTCCTCGCCCTTCCCTAAGTGGCTACAGCCGGCACCAGATGGCCGTCCTCTTTCGGCCAGTTTCCTCCTCTGGAGGATGAGGGGCTGGACTCTGTCACATGCAGGGTGTGTAAGATCTCTGTCCCCCGTCTTTCTCAGACCAGGGACGAGGTAACCATTGTCAGTGTGGTCTTTATTAATTTTGCTCAGAATGTACCCACATCTGCCTTCCAGCTCCAGCTTCCAGCCCACTGCCCTGCTCACTCCAAATTCTAGAACGGATTGTGAGTCTCCCTGTCCACCATCCTGCCACCTCCAAACTCCTGCCAGATGAGTTTTTTTTTTCCTTCCTTTTTTTTTTTTTTGGTACTGGAGATCAAACTTGGGTCCTTGTGCTTGTGAGGCAGGCGGCGGAACCGCTGAGCTAAATCTCTGGCCCAAATGAGCGTTCTAAATACAATCAGGTTCACTCCTGAAGAAATGCTTCTGGGGCTGCACTTAGGAGCCGAACGCTGTTCAGCGCTGGGTTTCCACGTGTGCATTGCTCTCGGTCCCTCGGTGGCTCCCTACTGCCTTGGACTAGCACACAAGAGCCTGCTGCCACCACCTTCTGCCCTTCTCTAGTCCCCCCGCCACCTCTTGACCCCCCTCTGCCGGACAGACTGGACGCTGTCCCCCAGGGCTGTGCTGCACCGGGACTTCGGGATGTCTGGGGAAGGGGCCCCAGGAAGGGAAGAAGGGGCAAAGGCCCCTGACGGGGCCACAGCTCTAGTGCCAGGAGGAGAAGGTGCCCTGGGGAGGTCCGCATCCCACAAACAGGGCCTTGGTCTCAGAGCGGAAGCTTCCGCAGAGCAGACGTGCGTGGCTTTGCAGCCTTCTTGACTTGTGCACTGACAGGGACTGTCCTGATAGCTCACCAGGCTCTGCAGCTCTGCGACGGCAGGCAGACAGGGCCGTTCCTCTAAGCCTGGCTTCTCATCCACACCTTGCTCCCCAGACTCCTGAAGCTTGGCAGAAGTTTGATCGGAGGATGAGGCGTCGATGTGAGCTCAACCTCGCAATCT